TCTTCGTTAGTAGCATTCGAAAAATGGGCGTCTGGGTCCCTGATAGGTAAGCGAGATCTGTCGTCAGACTCAGTGGAATTTTCATATTTTTATTGTGGGGAGTTCTATTTAGCCTTTTGATTATATGGGGCTTTGGCCGAGTCTTTAAAGCAAGCAGTGGTTCATATAAGCGATTTTTAATATACGTCTTGTCGAAAATTGAGTGCTTGCTTTTTTTCTTTATTTCTAGGTCTAGCGTAGTGAATATTTTTTATTTTTATTGTTCGAAAATACATTGAATTCCAGTGGTACAGTCAATTCGTTATCACTTGACATTTTCTAGCCTTCTTGCTGACATATTGGCATATATGATGGGCCTATAAATGCATTAAATATTGCCTCCTGTTTTCATGAAATTTTTTAACTATGCTCGTTATAGAGACGCCGCCTGGGAACTTGAGCCAGGTGCTTTTGAAGATATGGCAGGTGTGACTGTGACGACTGAAGATAGTCCGTCGATTGAACCGCCCCGAATTTTTACTTCTAATAACGTCGGTGCATCGCAAATCAGCATAGAAATTCCTTTTCCTTTACGTAATACTCAGGTCTCTCGTCGAGGACGCCGTCGTAATCAAGTTGTTCGAGAAATTTCAAATAGCCTTTCATTTCCAGACAAAACAGAAAGTCCTTTGATCTTGAATCGAATGCATGGCAAGCTTAGGCGTCGTAGCACTCAGTCTGCTTCTGAAAGATCCAATATGAATCGGTCCTCGAAGAGAGTCAATTTAGCTTCACCTTTAGATGAGCGGATTCCCCAGGTACTGGATGATTTGAGACCTGGGAGTGTAAATTCAACTCACAACGAACAGAGCGATGTAGAGGATGAATATATTGAATATGAAGATGAAAACGCTCTGGATGATGATCAGACTCATATAATTAATAAAGAAGTTAAGGATGGATTTTCCCTTTCGGACTCGTTCTTTTCTTCTCTGGCTCAGTCATCAAAAAATACACTTTCGACTTTTTTTCCTCCTGTCCTG